AAAAAGAAAAAAAAGGCGCAGGCGCCCTGTCTTTCCCAGAGGCAGGTCAGCTTCATCTTGCAGGTCACTCTACAGGATCCGTGGTAATACTGATACGCATACTGACACTCATACTAACACTCATACTAATACTGAAACTCATACTCATATTGTTACTCATACTAATACTGATACTGATACTAATACTGATAATGATACTGATATTGGTAATGATAATAATGATACTGATATTGATACTGATACCTATACTAATACTGATACTGATACTAATACTGATTCTGATACCGATATTGATAGTGATGTTAATATTGATATTAATACTAATACCAAAACTAATATTAATACTAATACTAAGATTAATGTTAATACTATTACTATTACTAATACTACTATTAATACTAATACTAATATTAATATTAATATTATTACTAATACTAATATGTTAATATTGTTAATGTTAATGCTAATACCAATTTTAATGCTAATGCTAATCTGGATATGCTAATTATTGTGCTAATGCTAATTATAAGTGTAATCCTAATATTATCCAAATCATTATCATATTCATAATCCTATTCATAACACTAATCATAAATCTAATCGTGATCCTAATCCTATTCCTAACACTAATCATAATCTTAATATTATCCAAATCATTATCATATTCATAATCTTGTTCATAACACTAATCATAGATCTAATCGTAATCCTATTCCTATTCCTAACATTAATCATAACTAGCATTTTTTCCCCGTGCGATGCATGGGATATTATTTCAAAAGTGAAAAAAAATCAATTTAATACACAATAAGAAATATAGTACATTAATATAGTAAAATTTAATAATGTAATATTACTCATATTTTATATAATATTAATTTTTTTTAATCTTACACATTAAGATGTATAATCCAAATATATAGGTTTAAATTTAACAAATCGAATTAAATCTTTATATATTAAGATTTTAGATATACTGATGAAAAATAGGAGATTGATAATTATTGAAAATTTATACATAAAAAATATTAAAAATAAATAATTACAGAAATACCATTAGATTTTTTAGGGTTGCCCAGCGTTTCTTTTTTTTATATATAAGATTCTAACCATAACCCTAATAATTTTAATACTAATAATGCTGATGGTAATGGTAATGCTAATATTAATTATAATTATAATTCTAATCTTAATTCTAATGATAATCTTAATCCTAATGATAATCATAATCTTAATACTCATACATGTCACTAATTGTAGTACTAACTACTAATCATAAGCATAATTTTAATTATAATTTTAATACTAATATAAATCATAATCCGAATTATAATCCTAATCCTAATCATTATCCTAAGGGCAAATGGCAAAAAGGCCCATCACATGGGACTTAAATGCATTTTGGTCCACAAAAAAAACAGTCTCTCAATTAAGCCCATCCCCATGTCTTTAGTCTAAAATACCCTCAATAATATAATTCTTATCAATTCCACCCAATATGATCTAACTTCCTTAATATTACACATTGACCCCGGATTTAGACAAATATATCACATTAACCCCCAAAACTTTTTTTTTTCAGAAAATAATTTTTTTTCTGAAATGTTTTTTTTTCCGGCCAGATTCCGGCGTTGACCGCCGGAGACCGCCGGTCTCCGGCATTGACTTTTTTTTTTTTTTTTTTTTTTTTTTTTGAAATTTTTTTTTTCCTGAATTTTTTTTTCCGGCCGGTCAACCACCGTTGACCGCCGGTCTCCGGCGTTGACTTTTTTTTTTTTTTTATAGAATTTTTTTTTCTTAGAAAAAAAATATTTTAATTAATATTACTGTCTTGACTACTAAATTACTGTCCCAAACAGTAATATTACTGTCTGAGACAGTAATATTATGAATATTATTTTTCCGAACAGTAATATTTTTAATATTATTGTCTAAGACAGTTAAATTACTGTTGGAGACAGTAATTTAACATCCAAGACAGTAATATTAATTAAAATAATTTTTTCTTAAGGAAAAAAAACAAAAAAAAAGCCAATTAACAGTTAAATTACTGTCTCCGACAGTTAAATAACTGCTGGAGACAGTAATTTAGCAACGAATACAGTAATATTAATTAAAAATATTTTTTTTAAGAATAAAAAAGTCAATTAACAGTTAAATTACTGTCTCCGACAGTTAAATAACTGCTGGAGACAGTAATTTAGCAACCAATAGAGTAATATTAATTAAAAATAATTTTTTTAAGAATAAAAAAGTCAATTAACAGTTAAATTACTGTCTCCGACAGTTAAATAACTGCTGGAGACAGTAATTTAGCAACGAATACAGTAATATTAATTAAAATATTTTTGAAGAAAAAAAAAAAAACAGTCAATTAACAGTTAAATTACTGTCTCCGACAGTTAAATAGCTGCCGGAGACAGTAATTTAGCAGCCAAGACAGTAAAAATTAATTAAAATATTTTTTTAAAGAGAAAAAAAAAAGTCAACGCCGGAGACCCGGCGGTCAACGGCTGTTGACCGGCCGGAAAAAAAATTTAGGAAAACAAAATTCAAAAAAAAAAAAAAAAAAAAAAGTCAATGCCGAAGACCGGCGGTCAACGCCGGAATCTCGCCGGAAAAAAAAATATTTCAGAAAAAAAATTATTTTCTAAAAAAAAAAGTTTTGGGGGTTAATGTGATATATTTGTTAAAATCCGGGGTCAATGTGTAATATTAAGGAAGTTAGAGCATAATTGGTTGAATTGATAAGAATTAGGGTTAAAATTGGGGTCAAAATTGAAATTAGGGTTAAAATTGGTTAATTGATGAAATTGGGCTAAATTGGGGTGTAAATCATGAAATTGGAGTTGAATTGGGTTACAATGAATTAGGGGTAATTTTGGTATATATAAAAGAATTTTCCTTATTTGCAAATAAGTTTGAATGGGGTGGATTTATTTGGAAGACAAAAAAGTTGGATGTCCCTATTTTAATTTAGTGCCCTTGTCATGGGCTTTTTTGTGATTACCCCTTATCCTAATCTTAATATTAATTCTAATACTATATTAATCCTAATTATAATTCGAATCATAATCCTAGTATTAATACTAATACTAATTAGAAGAATATGAAGTATAATCCTAATACCAATCACAATCATAATTCTGTTTTTGCATCATTTTTTTTTTTCAATGATCTATTATTTTGTATCAAAAATATTTTATTAAATCACGCAACCTTTATATCAAAATCCTTATGTGTGGTAGCCGAAGCATCAAAAAACACATATTAAATATATTAGAAATTAATATTTAATTATATTATCAAAATAACATTAAAATTATTTAATATATTATAAGAACATCAGAAAACGTTAGTGTTCACATGGCAGACAAAAAAAATAGTGCCAATTTTTGCATTATACAGTAGTATAGTCAAGTTCATGTAAAGTGTATTTTATCAAATTATTTATTATGCAATATTTTTTTAATATAAATCTATGTTTATGAATTCAAATAATTGTTTTTGTAACACCACCAATTAAGGAATTATAATAAGGGAAGATTTGAAATTGCATTTAACTAAATTCAAATTAAATTAATTATTATTAAAATTAAATTAAATTTAAAAATAAATCTATTTAGAGTTTCCAAGAAAGTTGATATATTTAGAGCATTTTATAAATGATAGGATATAAATATATTAATAAAATAATTAAATATATTTAATTATCTTTAATTTTAGAAAATGGTGACATATTTTTTGATGATTTATTTTCACCAATCAATTTGTCACATGGGATGAAATTGAATTCATGTCACCAATTGAAATTGCCAAATGTCAAACAATTGAGGATGGAATTCAAATTTTAGATATTATATAACATAAGTTACATTAGATCTTATTATATAATGAAATATTACAATAAAACATAAGCAGAACGAAAAATAAAAAATAAAATAAAACATCCATTGAACAAACTAAATGTTTTTTTGTACAAACAACATCACTCAATTGTTACATAAATTACGTAAGGAAAAAAAAACACATGACCATGTGCAGCAAGAATTTTCATGTGAAAGTAAAAAAAATACTGTGTGGATTAAGGATGCTACGTAATGGGTGAGAAGCGAGGGTATTATACTTAATTTTCCGTGACCCATTTTCTAACCAAATCACGTAAAAGTTATGCTTTTTTTATATATAAAAATCCATCAAATATTTTCATCAATTGCAATGAAAGATCTACCAATTGAATAATTTGATAATCAAATTTTATGAGAATTTCTTTTATATCTCACATGAGAAAATAAAAATTGAAATAATTTAAAGAGACCTTTTTTTTTGCTTTTTTCGCTCGAAATTAGGTTGTACTCATTAGAATAAATGATATTTTAATTTTGTATAATGTATCTCGAAAAACAAAATCACCAAAAAGATGACCATTCCCTCATTAAATTGTAAAAAAAATATTATAGTGTGCAATGTGAATAATATATTGTGGTTTGATGGAGAAAAATACTAATAAATATTTGTTGGGGTGCAAAAT